AGAGAGAGGTGTCATCTTACAGTAGAACTACCTCTCTGTAAAAGACAACACCTAGTTGCAGAGCCCAAGTGTCCTTTAGAGAGAGGTGTCATCTTACAGTAGAACTACCTCTCTGTAAAAGACAACACCTAGTTGCAGAGCCCAAGTGTCCTTTAGAGAGAGGTGTCATCTTACAGTAGAACTACCTCTCTGTAAAAGACAACACCTAGTTACAGAGCCCAAGTGTCCTTCAGAGATATCATCTTACTGGATTTATTAGTAAAAATGATATTTTTAGTGATGAAAGCTGTTCTTTATAAAGAGATGTTCTTTAGTGAGAGTGTCTTCTCATGGAGGTTCTGTCATAGAGAGCTAGTGAGAGTGTCCTCTCATGGAGGTTTTGAAATAGAAAGCTAGTGAGAGTGTCCTCTCATGGAGGTTCTGTCATAGAGAGCTAGTGAGAGTGTCCTCTCATGGAGGTTCTGTCATAGAGAGCTAGTGAGAGTGTCCTCTCATGGAGGTTTTGAAATAGAGAGCTAGTGAGAGTGTCCTCTCATGGAGGTTTTGAAATAGAGAGCTAGTGAGAGTGTCCTCTCATGGAGGTTTTGAAATAGAGAGCTAGTGAGAGTGTCCTCTCATGGAGGTTTTGAAATAGAGAGCTAGTGAGAGTGTCCTCTCATGGAGGTTTTGAAATAGAGAGCTAGTGAGAGTGTCCTCTCATGGAGGTTCTGTCATAGAGAGCTAGTGAGAGTGTCCTCTCATGGAGGTTTTGAAATAGAGAGCTAGTGAGAGTGTCCTCTCATGGAGGTTTTGAAATAAAGAGCTAGTGAGAGTGTCCTCTCATGGAGGTTTTGAAATAGAGAGCTAGTGAGAGTGTCCTCTCATGGAGGTTTTGAAATAGAGAGCTAGTGAGAGTGTCCTCTCATGGAGGTTTTGAAATAGAGAGCTAGTGAGAGTGTCCTCTCATGGAGGTTCTGTCATAGAGAGCTAGTGAGAGTGTCCTCTCATGGAGGTTTTGAAATAGAGAGCTAGTGAGAGTGTCCTCTCATGGAGGTTTTGAAATAGAGAGCTAGTGAGAGTGTCCTCTCATGGAGGTTCTGTCATAGAGAGCTAGTGAGAGTGTCCTCTCATGGAGGTTTTGAAATAGAGAGCTAGTGAGAGTGTCCTCTCATGGAGGTTTTGAAATAGAGAGCTAGTGAGAGTGTCCTCTCATGGAGGTTTTGAAATAGAGAGCTAGTGAGAGTGTCCTCTCATGGAGGTTTTGAAATAGAGAGCTAGTGAGAGTGTCCTCTCACTGAGGCTCTGGCTTAGAGAGATGTCCTCTAGCAAGTGTGTCCTTTCATGGAGGTTCTTGTGTAGAGAGAGAGGTGTCCTTTAGCAAGAGTGTCCTTTCATGGAGGTTCTGGTAGAGAGAGGTGTCCTCTCATAGAGGTTCTGCTGTATAACCTTTATTCTTTGTTATATTGATAAGGAATTGGTCCGTTGGAGAATGATGGATTCGCCGAATGTCGTGGTTTGCTCGGAGGAGGAAAGCGAAGATTGAATGCGGCTGATTCCACACTAGCCCTCTCAATGATATCTTAACCTTGACATATTCTAAACATTGGTACTTTAATTTAAATATTTAATCATGTACGGTTCCTTTTGCTCTGTATTGTTTATTTTTTGTATATATGGTTATATTTCTTTTTGTTTGGTTTTTCTTTCTTCTCTCTTTCCTTATTACTTCTTGTATTCTAGTTTTTACTTTTGAAATATCTTCCTTTCCTAAATCCCGTAGAGGGGAATCATGTATAGGGCTGGATGCCCCAATAAAAAGGCTTATATTGATATGGAATTGTAGCCTACTGTAGTGTATGAAGCTTCTGAAATATCTGGACCTGGAGAATTCTACTCGGAGTGCCGTGGTCAGATAAAAGAACAAATATTTCAATCTTAAGTGAAATTAATTCTGGTAGATATCTAGAATCCCAAATATGTAACTAAAGACTGACTTACTTCAGACATTTAATGAGATCAACTGGTTCTGAAACGATATTGGAAAAAATTGACGGGAGAAGAAAGAGAGGAAAACCTCCACAATGAGCTGGCTGGAAGGGGTAAAGGAAAGTACTCAAAGGTTACTAAATGAGCTGCAAGTTTTTTTTTTGTACTTATCCTTTTAGTCTAAATTAGACAAAATCTTGGAGGTCGTGCTCGTAAAGAAGCTCAAGAACTCTTCTTGGTTCTCTGTACAGGGATCTTTTGTCCTTTCCAATGCAATTTAGTAAATGTTGGGGAGTGGCTTCTTCGGTTTTGCACCTAGTGCACATGGGGAAGCTTTTGGCTCCCTCTTTATAGACTAGAGGGCGCCGGTGACCAGATTTCCATCTGGCCAACTGTGTCAATTCCCTGAGCTGCAAGTGTTGGTCACCCACAGATCATATTGGATAATATTTGTTCATATAGTCAGCAAGTCAAACTCAACTTGTGGGCACTAGCATCAAAGTAGGGTATCTATGGAATATAAATTGTATTTTAATCAGGCTTGTGCTAGCCTAACAATGGAGGTTTATCAACAATGAGACAAAACCATAATTTATTTTGGTTTACTCCAATAAAATAGAGTGGATTAGTTTTTTTAAAAACCTAGCATTTTACCTATTATATATTGTAATTCATGTTCCCAGTAAAAATCTATTTTTTTAAATTGCTTGCCAATTAGCAAGCTTTTGGGTAGTTCACAAAAATCTGTCTGTCAACATGCGGAAGAGATTATGGTGATAGTCATGAACTGGTAGGATATTGACTCTTAAAACATCTTCCATTCCAATCCACAAATGGAGGTTTATCAACAATGAGACAAAACCATAATTTATTTGGTTTTTATTCCAATAAAATAGAGTGGATTAGTTTTTTAATAAAAACAGCATTTTACCTATTATATATTGTAATTCATGTTCTCAGCAAAAATTCTCTTTTTTAAATTGCTTGCCAATTAGCAAGCTTTTGGGTAGTTCACAAAAATCTGTCTGTCAACATGCGGAAGAGATTGTGGTGACAGTTATGAACTGGGAGGATATTGACTCTTAAAACATATTCCATTCCAATCCACAAATGGTATATCTTATCCCAATACTTGTGTTGTCTTGGAGAATCTGTGTTCACCAGAGTTGTGTGTGTCACAGGTCTATTCAGAATACACCATCAGTCTGGCTTATGATATGGCCAGCAGTAAGCTCAAAAATGTAAGTTCTTTTACCCCTCTCTCTGTTATAAATTATATAGATTTTTATAATGTTTGACGAATTCAAAGTTTGGTTCTATACCATAAGTGCGATAATCATCTGGAACAGTATATTATCAAAAGTACAAAATTGTGAGTCAAAGAGTTTCTTGTAATTAAAAAAGCATAATCATACAAAAACTTTTGGACCCATGATTTTGTACTTTCGATAATACAGTAGAACCTTCCTGTAAAGAACACCTAATTACAGAGTCAAAGTGTCCTTTAGGGAGAGGTGTCCTCTTACCGGAGAGTTGATAAATTGTAAAAATGGTAATTTTGCAAATGAAAACTGTCTTTTGTAGAGAGGTGTCAACTAGCGGGGTGTCCGCTAAAGGGAGGTTCTACTGTATATAGATTCTCATTATGGATCATTGTTTTTTTCCTGGATAACTGTGAAGGTTGGAACAATGAACTGAAAATTGAACTCCTTTGAGATCTGGTCAAAAATGAAGGCTGTGGAACATTTTCTCTAAAGAATGTACCTTCATGATGGGTAAATGTATATTTGTGGAGTTGATTCCTAGAATCTGAAGCACCTACTATGGCAAGTGACTTAGCTTCATATGAGGCCACTTCTCTCATAGAGAACAAACATCTCTGTTGCCAACCTTGGCATGGATGCATACAGCTGCTGTTGGTTTTGGTAGGGATTACTTTTAATGGTACCATATTTCCACCCAGTATTATTATTGAAATTTTGTTGCAAATTTTATCAATCTATTCCTACCACAGGCTAGTCCACTGCACTCTGTTGATGACTGGGGCTGTTGGAATGTTAGATTAGACATTCACAGCTCATCATCATCTCTGATGGTCATTTCCCTATTGGCCACCTGGGAACCCGTCTTGATTGCCTCCCCAAGATTTATATAGTGGTAATGTGGAATTGTCTTCAGCAATTGTCTGAATTTTGTTTCAAGCCCTAAAGATGATTGGTTTGGTAAATTTTTCTTCTTTCTTATTTCCGCTAAATCATATTAGGGTATCAAGCTTGTAGAACTTGTTGATGGTGTCTGCTGGGGATGAGTAGAGCTCATCCATGAATGAGCCAAATACAGTCAATAATATAGTTTGGGGTTTTGCAGGTTGAGAATTGAACTTAGTACATAGTGGGAAAACCTTGCAACCATTTTGGAAAGTCATTGCCCGTAGATAACTAGACTGTTGTTGTTTCTTATCCCCTTGTGTAAAGATTACACAAATTCCATGAGTTCATGCTCCTCAAGCTGTTTTAAGATAAGCAGCGGCCTCTTTCGAAAGTCAAAGACTGTTGTGGTTTGATGAAATAAACCTTTTGACTTGAAGTAACACTTTTGCTGCTCGGATCATGCTCAATGTTAGTGTTGTATCACAGGCCTACTCAGATCACGCGGACCTGGTCTCCCGTAGAATGGGGTTCATGCCCATACCTCTGACAGCCTTGCTCCTGAGGGTGATCATAGGAGCTATCTCCGTCCACAACCTGGGCAGCCTCATCTGTCTGGGACTCAGCTATCTCTGGTGAGTAAATTGTCCTTTCTCTCTCGATAAGGTAACAAGACTGCTTCCAAATTAATGAAATGTTTATACACCTCCCTGTAAAGGACACCTAATTGTAAAGCCAAAGTGTCCTTTAGGGAGTGGTGTCCTCTTACTGGAGAGTTGTTAAATAGTAAAAATGGTAATTTTGCAAATGAAAACTGTCCTTTGTAGAAAGGTGTCCTCTAGCGTGAGTGTCCTCTCATGGAGGTTCTACAGTATAAGAAAAAAAGGGTTTTCATGCTGGGAAACGAACTCAGGCCTCCTGAGTGAGATCCAGATATCCTAGCCACTAGACCACGTGGTTTGAAGGACCCAGGAAGACTGGTTCGATTCCCGATGAGGGAAAATTATTTTTTTTACAGACATTTCATTAATTTGATCTTGTTGCCTTATGTTTCTAATCTATAATCCAAATTTTACCTTATCAAGACCATAACCAAATAAATTGATTTCATTTCAGAAATGCCAAATTATTTTTATTCTATTATTGTTTACACAACTGATAACAGTACCAACTATTTTTCTTTAAAAAAACATTCTGCAGAATTTTCTGTCTCATTCAGTAGATGTTTTACAATTTCTAGATGGACAAAATATTGGTGTATTATTGTTGTTTATAATACAAGATGGGCCTATTGCATTTTTAGACATTTATCTATGTTGTAAAACGACACTTGAAGTTACACCGCATGAGTTTCTTTTCAACGAAAAATCAAAATTTATTTCAAGGTGAAATATTGACTATTTCTAACCTTTTTGGATTCACCATTTCATACCTCATCCAAAAAGGTTAGAAATAGTCAATATTTCACCTTGAAATAAATTTTGATTTTTCGTTGAAAAGAAACTCATGCGGTGTAACTTCAAGTGTCGTTTTACAATCACAGGCCACAGTGCATTATATTTATCTATGTTATTTCAACAAACAGTGAACTGCTCATCAAATGATCATAAATTATTATATATAAAATCTAAAATACACCCCTCTCTTGTATTAAGTAGATGGAAATTCTGCCCAGTGGATATTGATTTATAAAAGTCACCTTTCTCTGTTCAAAATAAGATGCTGCCTCCTGAATTTTGCAAAGCTGACATTTTGGCTTCGTCACAGATCTGAGCCTGCTAATCTGTGGAGATGATCATTGGATGGCACTTAGTTTTTAGCATCTTTATTTTGAAGAGAGAGGTGACCTCTTTTTTTTTTTAAATAGATCATGTATTAAAAGTATACACATCTATGAATGTGAAATCTTCTTTCTTGTTCTTTCTTATCTCCACACTGGGTGAAGTAGAATGCGTCTGCCTTTGTCATTAAGACTGGGAGCACTACTCAGTGGCAGGCCGACTTAGCTCCAAAGGAAATGGCGGCCTCTGACATGAGGAACAGACGCCATGTGCAGCTACTCCTAACATGGAGTACAAACGCTGCTCATCCTGTATCCCTGGATTAGGAGCCCTTACAGGGTACTATCAGCTGGGCCAGCTGAACCCAGGTTTTTTAGTGAGCTTGTTACTGCTCCACCTCCTCCTTTTTCATCCGGGATTGGGACCGGCAATGGCAGAGTTATGAATGTGAAATGAAAGCATTAAAATGTTTCTTTTACTCATATAAACAAACTCCTACTGCCATTACAAGGTATTAAGACCAAATCTAAATGAATTTTTTTGGTTATCCCTAGTACACGTGGTACAGGCCATGATAATCATGGTGGGTAGAAGTAGGCGACTGCTTTTACTGTAAGTGCACCACATGTCTACATATGTGAAAAGTAGTTCGACATTGCACATACAAATGTGCCAGAGCCCCGTTTGGTTACTTGCACTCACTGGTGAGGTTGAACTTTTGCAAGTATCAGGGGTTATTGGAGCATTTTTTTTTTTTTAATCAGAAAAAAGTGCCCAATGCGGGAATCGAACCTGGGTTGTAGTGGTTGAAAACCAACGGTTTAGACCATCCTTCCACTGACCCCCCAATAAATAAATAGTGTTTGTTTGGATTTGGTCTTATTACCTTTTGTTTATAATTTATAATTCAAATTGTGCCTTATCAATAGACTTTTACTATCCATACTGATGACAATATTGGGATGGCTTGGCTCATCTGTTTTGAACACCCTTTCCCAGCGGTTTGGCCAATTTATGGATCTTCAAAATTGTGTCTTCCAGTCTGGTGGCACTGAAGATGGCCATCAATCTGTACCTGCTGGGCAAGGCCTGCGACCACATTGACCGCCATCGACAGGCCAAGAAAGCCCTGGAGACTCGGCAATGTGCCAGCCTGCCCTCTACTCCCCCCCATCATAGACTCAGGTACACATGGCTTCTTTTAAAATGAAAGAATTTAAAAGCATGAATGTTTCTTTTATACATAATACAAACTTCTACTGTCCTTACTGCAGATGAAAAAATATATTGGGAGGGCTTGGCTCATCAGTGGTGAACCCTCCCAGCGGTTTCGCCAATTTAATCCACCAGACCGCTTCTCAGAGCTCTTAATACGGTATTGGACAATTCTGCTTATATATGCAGCACTGAAGGGTGGAATCTCAGAAATGGTTTTCAAGAAGACTATGGACATAAGCTTATAGGACAGTAGAATTACATTCAAACTTCATATATCTGTAGAGTAAACAACACATGCCGGAGGAAGAGCTTCTTTATAATTCTTCATGATCTATGTTTCTTTTTCTATTGCAAATAGGGAGTGGGTGGAAGGGTGGTCTAAACCATTGGTTTTCGACCACTATGACCCGCGATCGAATCCCTCATTGGACACTTTTTTCGAATTAAAAAAAATATATATTCCAATGGCCTTCGATTCTTGCAAAAGTCTAACCCCATCAGCGAGTACAAGTAACCAAAAAGGGGTCTCTGGCATATTTATAAGTACAAAAGTCGAACTGCTTTTCACATGTGTAGACATGTGGTGCACTTACAGTAAAAGCAGTCGCTAACTACCCACCATGATTATCATGGCCTGTACCACGTGTACTTGCGATAATGAAAAAAATCGAATAGAGAAATTATCATTGTCCTTGTCTCTCTCTCCTCATTTCCTTTTCATCTCTCCTTTGATAAGGCACAATTTGGATTATAGATTAGAAACAAGGTAATAAGACCAAATAAATTAATAGTGTGTGATGTTTTGGTAACAGCATTGTTTTCGTCATTAGACAAAATACTTTTGTCTAATGATGGTAAGAACGCTGTTGCCAAAATGTCGCATATTATTTATTATTTTTTTGTATTTGTGGTCTTATTGCCATGTTTTATATCTCCTTGCTTCCACTTTACATTGCACACTAAACTCCCCCATAAGCAACCATTCTTGTAAAATTTGCCTATCCCTTTCCCTGTCCAATACCCAATATTGAATTCTCATCGACTTGCCACAGCTAACCTCCATGTCATTAGGCCAATACATGCATCCACCACACATGGGAGAATATAGCTGCTCATCCCCAGAATGGTTTCAGTTCACCTTTGAGAGTTACTTCTTATAAACTATACATCTCTGTCTAAAGAGACAAAGGTCACCTCTCCCGTCAAAATAGATGTCAAAACTAGACGCCATCTATTGACCGTCGCCGCAAACTAGCAGTCTCGGGTCGGTGACAAATCCACAACACCAGCTTTGGCAAACTGAAAAGCGTCCACCTAGAGACCATGGTTTCGGGCTAATGGCCCTCGTCAGCCTAGGGCAGACTTTATTCCATGAGATCCACACGGGATCTAATGGAATCTTGACAATCTGCCAAAGAAGTGTTTAGCTGGCAAAGTGGCTAAAATATAGATGGAAATTTTGCCGGAAGGATATTGATCTAAAGAGACAAAGGTCGCCTCTCCCGTCAAAATAAATGTCAAAACCAGATGCCATCTATTTGACGTCTATTTTGACAGGAGAGGCGACCTTTGTCTCTTTAGATCAATATCCTCCCGGCAAAATTTCCATCTATACACATCTCTGTGTTCTAATGTTTAAGAAACACATTGTAAAGATAGTCACCAAGCATTGTGACCAAAGAGTTGCTGTGACTGCGGCAGTCTGGAGGAGGAGAGGATCAAGCTGATATCCGCACAGAGTCTGCCGCAGACTCCACAGCGTAGCCAAACCTCCAGTCTGGAGGACATAGCTGCCCATGTGGAACGGCTGCACCATGGGGCCATCGAGCCCAACCCCATCTTCTCTGACAGCACAGTCAACCTCCAGCAATGGCAGATCTCACCTATGGGCATTCTCACTCCTTCCCGGGAGTCCCCGCAGCAACGTCGCATATCCCTACAGACAACCTAAACCTCAATTCTTTTTTTTTACATACCTTTAACCATCTTTTTTCTTTTCAACAGTAACTCTTTACTTGCTCTAATCCTATTGGATGATTTCTCCAATGGTCATTATTGCTTCAACCAACAGCCATAAATGCCTATCTCTTCAGATATTTCTCTTTTGAAAATCCCTTGTAACTGTTTTAAATTGCCTCTTTTTATCTTTATAAACCCTTGGTGGAGATTTTTCACTTTGTCATTGTTTCTTTTGGGATAAAGCAACAATAAATGCATATCTCTGTAATTATTTCTTCTTTCAAATTTTCTTTTAAACATGCCTTAATCTTATTCTTTATTCATTTTCAAAATCCTTGGTGCTCTCTTTCATATCGCAGAATTATCTCTTGACCATTATTGCTTTTTTTTTTTTAAGGCAATGCCAGCAATAAATGCATATAATTGCTGATATATCTAAAAGTCCTTTGTTTTTTAACTTTAAAAATCTCTTTAACTGCCTTAAATGCCTCTTTTTATCATTAAAATCATTGAGGGCTCTATTCTTTGGTAGATTTTGTCTCATGGATATTGTCTCTAGGAGTTACAGCAACAATGGCACATATCTCTACAGAGATTCTTAAAGTATCTTTTCTTCAGTATCCTTGGTATATGACTCGTGCCATGGTAAATCCATCAAAATTACATAATTACCTCTATATGAAACTTCAGAAATTTTGCATATCCCTTCAGACCATCTGTTTTGAGCCATTTTATTTCAAATCTCTCAAAAAGACTTATGTTTCTTCAAATTTCTTGATATATTCTTTCATAGCAGATCTCTACCATGTTATTCTTAATTCCTTCTCTGCAATAAATCTCTGCAAATATCTTAAGCCTCTTTCTTCTTTTCTTATCCTTTATTGATATCCTTAAAAAAATCTCTTGATTTTCACCTAATGCTTTGTTGCTTCTATTTATAAGCCCTAAAAATTTTTTTTTTTCAATAATGTCCTTTTTAATAAATGCATCACCATATT